CCGGCGTACGTACGTATGTTTACACATCGCTCGCATACCTTTCCCCCACCACACTGCCTACGCGCGCTCACCGTTCAACCTTGACGTCATTTGCGTAGCGTCCGAGATTCGGGCAGGACAAGTAGCGGGGTCGTTTCGTTATTATCGTAGCGTTATTTCATAAAAGGCGGTCGTCTAGTCAAGTAATAAGAGAATACGGTAAACGCTATCATATTATATCTTGTTGATTATCAGTGTCCGCATGATTAATTATCTCTCGTAATTAATAACACGAGCGAACAATTTGCTATTTATCGAAGTAGATATTGCGCGTGATTTACTCACATGAGATGCAGCATTCGCGCGGACGAGATATAGACAATGAGAATTATAAATTACTATTAACTTCTCCGCGATAATTACGAGAGATATTTATTTCTTTCATCACGCTTGAATTCTCTCTCTCTCTCCCCCCCCCTCTCTCTCTCTCTCTCTCTTTCTCTCTCTTTTTGTGCAATATAATTTTTATATGGCATCGTGAATCTTGTCGATTCAAATGTAATTTGCCGATTATTATCGAGTGTAAAGTATCGCCGGATTTTTAATGATTAAAGCGTGATATATTGATCGTCTATTAGTATATTTCGCATATAATATTGAATTTTTCAATAATATATCGTTTATAGTTATTTCATATATATAATACACATCGCGTCTTTATTTGACTCGCGTAGTATCCGCGCTGTATTAAAATGAGATTGGCAACACTGACTTTAAATTTCTCGGTCAACGACGGTACAACACGAATGTGAAATAGATCGACTTCGAATTGTGTAAGCGGTATCGCATTTAATTAATAAATCCGTACGTAATTGTATACAACTGAGTATATTAATATTTACAAACCGCAAAATATATTTACGCAATGCCGTGTATATTCGTGATTTGTTGGAACGCGTATTTCGCGAAATTTATTTCGATCGTAACCTCGCAAGCGTCGTTTGAGTAATCGATAATACAGACGACGTATTTCTAGATATTGAATCCCGTGGGGATATATAATATTTATTTATAATATTTATCCCGCGGATAATATTTATTTTTTATTTTAATTCGCATATTTATATTTATACTTATAATATGAGATAGCGATCGCATCTGGAAATGCGAGCGTTTTCTGATAGCAACAAGCGTAGTATCGTTGAAACGTGCGAATTGAACTGAGCAATTTTCGAAATCGTAGCTTCGTGCAGTAATGTTTGCGCTGTTTTCTTCTTATCGAAATGTAATAAAGTGCGCGCCGCGTGTGATTAATATCGGGAGTGCCGTATAAAATACTGCGCTTTCGATAGATACGTGTTTTTGCGAGTGCCAGTAAAAGACGAGCAAAGGGAGTGGAAAAAGAGGAAGAGGCCCGGGGAGGCATCAGGTAACGGCGGAGCAAACTTGTCAGGTAATAATTTATAACTTATTAAAAAATACGCGGAATATCAGAAAAAAACTGAAGAATTAAAAGTTCTTTACTATTATAAAATGTATAAAAATTTTAATTTGACAACAATACTGATTCTGCGGGAAGTCCATCATTAATTTCGCATTTCACGTCATCTCTCTCGACAAGCGTCATTCAATTATGATTGAATTTTGAAACAAAAATATTAAGAAATGATTAGATGTAAACAATTGTTCTCAATTACTGTCCAAAATGACAAGGTTTACTATTAAAATTTAATAATTGAAAAAAAATGTTAGAAATAATTATGTAATCACATGTTTATATTACAATCTATTTTTAAAAATATGAAGAAAACAGAGAAAAGAAAGAGTTTCTCTTTTGATGTATAATGATATACATACATATATAAATATTCCAGCATATTTTAAAAATTGTTTTATAATATATGGCAAAAATAAAATTGGCAAATGGAATTCTGTTCTACATTTCTTTCTAAATAATAGATTGTCTGTAGGTTTTATAAATTTACTAAAATTTGAATTGTTTCAATTTCTGTCTATAACGATACTTTTACACTATCAGTCTTCTACCTGTCAGCCTATCAATTATTCACATAGATCCATTATATCCATTTCCTTTCTCATCTATCCAAATAATCCTCCCTTACATTTTTCGCAATATACCATTCTTTTTCCTTTTTTGCACTTCTCGCCATTTCGCATCGTATATATATATATATATGAATTTTTTATCTATTTTTTAACCGACAAAGCACTTTTCTCTTTCTCTCACTCAGACTTCTCTTCCTTTTTCCCTTGTTGATTCTCTTCCTTTCATTGTCAGCAATTCTTTCCCGGTCGCTTTTGCGATCCAGATAGGGTCGCAAACGCTCAAAAGAACCGAGCACACAAAGAACCAACAGTATTCTCTTCAAAAGTTTGAGTCGCATTTTAACAGGTGACAACGAAAGTGACGTACCAACAAATTTCAAGCATACTTTTCAATTTAAAAACGAACTGCGAAAGTTGCTACTAATTTAAATTTGTGTTACATGAAAAAAATAATCATTAGAATATGTAAAGATAAATTAATTGTTCGCAAATTTTGGAAGAAACTTGGGATATTATATTTTTTACATTATTAAACTATAGTTCTTAATATAAAGTTTTTATTCTAAAGAGTCTATTTTTATTTGCCTATTAATCGATTATCGGTATAATTAATTGAGGAAGCATGTATAGAGTATTTTTAAATGCATAGTAAGTGCATTCTCTAAAGCACATACAGACATTCGTATACTATATATTTTTCTATCTTTTTTACAACATAAGCATTATAGATTTATTTTGAATAAAAAGCCATGCTTGGAGTCAAATAAATTAATTTATTAATTTTTAAATTAGTTTATAATAATTTAATAAAAAATGACTAATATAATTTTATTTCTTTTAATTTCAATGGTACGTGTCCACCTGAGAGTAAATCTCTCGAGAGTAGCTCTCGATGGTGATTCTTGCAAATCGACATACCTTTGAGAGTATCTAACTCAAGGGTATGTCTATTTGCGATAATCACTCTCGAGAGTTTTACTCGCAGGTGAATACGCATCATAAGTCGCCCGTCTAACAATCGACTTCCACGAATGACACGCCGATTACCTCATCGAGGAAATTAGCATATTAATTATCGCGTGGGCGTGACGGCACGTGGGTTTCCGTCGCACCAAGGTACGACCTTTTGCCCTGCGTCCTTCCCCTTCCTCTCTCACAGACGGAAACAAACAAGCGCTTTAATAAATTAGCTAATGGACGCACTGGCGAAATTGTCGGACTAATTCCGGGTGCAGGAAGTAGGACGAGTGACAGCGAATAACTGGACGGGGTAACAGGCCAAATTCCCAAGTGTAGGAGTTACCGGGACGATATCACGACCGGGGCACCGTGTGTTTGCAGCGACCGTGTATTCACGAGTTTACTCGTTTTACGACGCACGTGCGAGGAATAAGAATTACGTTCAATTAGTTGCGACCTCTAATGCGCGTAATTTCCGGTTGTATAAAGTTCACGCGTTTCCAGCTCCGAATTTTGGCGTCAACTCGAGATCATTGAGAATTTGATAATGAGACGATCAAAGGAGTTTTAATCCTCAGAATGATCGCATATCGTGCTTCAAAGATACATCATTTTTTCAGATGGTCAGGTATTTTTTTTTAAACGTCCTAGTTTTTAACACACGTGATTAAAGATCCAGATATATTTTATTCTATCACTCTTTTTCGCGTAAAATATTTATAAATTATATAATTTAAATTATACGCACGCAATGCATATCAGAGATAATTTACGACCAAATACGTAAATAACCAAGTAGCTTTAAGTTTAATGTCCATGGAATCCTCCCCATGCCTGTTGATTACCTACTTTCTCAGATACGTTGGATGATCTCAATAAGCCGTACCTTACTGCAACATAAAGTTAATCCTGCGAAAGCAATCTCATCCCAACACTTAACGTATATACTGTACATCTTAGCTTCGGAAATGTTCCTGAACTTTAAGAGTTTCAACCGCTACTCACGCGAGGATACGGAAAGAAGTACATTAACAAAATTTATTATTCCGGAATGATATATATACCTGTTTGTAATGATATGGAGATGTAATGATATAGAGATGGTAACTTTCCTAAATTTTTACGCAAACTTTAAAAAACGTATTTATATTTTTAATATACCTTTATATTTTTTATATATTTTTAAAATGT